TTGAAAATAAAAAGAAAGGACTAATTTGCTTTCCATTCCGACCTCTAGGCAACTGTCTCTAGTGTTTAAAGGATACTTCCTTCTTTGCTCGTCTCTTGCATACTTTCCATCCCTGGGAGAGCAGCAGCCACGCGGCGAAACAGCTGGAGGAAGAAAGACACTGTTGACCAAGAGGTCTAAGGCATCTAAAACAAATGGAATAAAATTCATTCCATCAACATTTGTTCAAACATGTGGGATGAATGGTTAAGGGATTTCTAACCTCCCTCTGAAAGGTTTTATTTTAAGAAGGCTAGAGTTGTCTGGCACGGCGTCAGGCTGCAGAATGATGACACAGCCGAACAATGAGACACTGCTGCCTTCGGAGGCAGGACTGTAACCTTTGTTTTGGCTACACAGAGTGATGTTCGGTTCAGTGCTTCAGCTTTTAGTCTTTTTAGGTGAAGAAATGCTTCCTCTGTCTGTGCTGCAGCAGGATGAGCAAGGCACATTTCATCAACACCATTCGCTGACAGACAACACAGCCTGCGTTCTTCACTCTAAAGACAACAGCTGATTCAGACACAAATTATCTTGTTTAGAAACAGACCAGCTCTTTTTTCCTTTATACAATAAAATCCTTTCAGCACTTAGGTAATGAATGCAGGTTAGTTAGCAGAAAAAGGGACTAAGAAGGAGAGAATGGCGTATGCTCGATGCGCTGTCGGACCACATCAGGGAGCAAACTGGTTTCCACCTCAAAGGGGAAGCGGAAATAAACAGGCTGGGATACAGAAGCCAAACTCTTGCTACTTTCACGGACCCGGGCCAAAAAGCTGCTGGAAGCCACTGTCGGTTTTAAACAGTTGGTATCAGAGAGTTTAGAGATATTTCTGAATGATTTCAGCTCTGCTCAGAACATCAGGGAGGTTTTAGGAGATGTGGTGAAAGACTATTCAACCATCCAGGAAGCAGAGCGGTTTAAAAACATCTGCACCTGAAGACTCTCAGCTAAAGAAATAAAAAAAAATCCTCTCTGGTTAGGAAAAGAAAAACTAAGTGCTTTAAATTGACTTAATCTGTTCAGTACCAGAAAAATAAGCAACAGCAAAAAAAATCAGGATAATTACACTAATTTGTAGTATTTCTGGAGACGACAGACACCAAAGAGGTTTCCAAAGACATATTTTGTTTCCAACAACAAAAAAAAGGTTAAAAAAAACAAACTTTGCTCTGAAGATACATGTAAACAGTACAGCTTTCTGTATATTGTTATTTTAATTGCTGATTATTTATATTCCTCCTCACTTTTCTCCAGTGTTATAAGATGGGAGACTTGATTCACCAGGCTACAGGAACCAGATGAGAAACTTTGCTCTGACATGATATATCGTGCCACTTTATTGGTGCTTAATTTTATTAACATTTACATTGAATCCCTATTTATCCAAAAGAGGAATGAATGTTAAATCTCTCCACCACAACATAAAGGCTGATTTATACTCAGAATATGCCCCCACCCCTTCTGCAGACACTCTGGTGCATCTCTTCCAAATTGGTGACCGTAGACAAGAGGCCTCTGATTGGTCAAATTTACATCCACTCTACACTATGCGTATTTCTTGTTTGATACCTTACCGGCTTGTTTTGTTTGTACGACCGCCATTGTGGAAAAGGACTCATGAAAATGGACCAGCTAGAAGAGCGAGGTGCGTGAGAACACTGGGACCCTTTTTCCACCTGGATCCCCGCTCTTTTTCGCCCTCATGTCCCTCTGTTGTCACACAAACTTGCCCCAACTTCCTCACCACCTCGGCTGTATCTAGACCCACAGCTAGTTTGTGATTGTCCCTTTTGTGTTGTGGCATGGAATAACATAGCACAGACCACGCTTCAATATTGGGCATAAATCAAAAATATCTGTGTCATACCTGCGACAAGCTCACTGTCACACACTGCTCTTCAAAAAAAACCTGTGTCCTGATCACTAAGGAGTCTCTTTGGGGGGGCAGGGGCTTAAAATAGCCACCAGCAAACCTTAGTAATTAGGATCAAATCATTATGGTGTTAAATAATTTCTCATTCATCAGCCAGAATGAGTCGATAAAGGCCGAGGTTAACTCTCACCTGTTTGACGTTGTAACCCGTCTTGGCGCTGGTCTCGATGAACATGACATTCAGCTCTTTAGCCCTCTGCTCTCCTTCCTCGATTGTTATCTGTCTGCAAATAGATGATGATTCTGATCAGTATGAGGCAGAATCTAAACACAGAACAGCAGCTGATACATTCCTCCAAACCAGAAGGAAAAAGAAGGTCGGGAACTAAAGCCCCCAGTTATGACATGAAGAGGAGGAAACGACAGGCGTAATGGGCTAACTTGGCGACAACGATTAATTACACAGTGCTGAGAATTAATGACGGCAAATTTGCGTCATGTTTAACTGAATCAGGCAGCGATTGCTTTGTCTTTGCCGTCTCACAGACAGCATCAGGATTCCTCCACAGATGAAGACTGCTGCTGTCCTTCAGAGCAGCAGATCCAGAGAATAGAAAGCTGCTCTTTAGAGAAAAACATAATGTAACTATGTTGTTCTTTTTCTTTTACTCAGCATAAAATGTAAGTACATTGAACTAACAGACAGCTTCCTTCAACACAGCAGCATAAAATCAACAAATACATTTCTCTTCCTCCAACTCAGTCACAGCTCAGAGGTGAGGAATTCAGCCTGTGTGAGGCAGTAAAAAAAAGGCTGTGCAGAAACCTTGCATTTACATAACGCCACCTGACAGGGTTACACCATTACTTCTGTGACTATTTCTGGATGCTTAGGACTGAATCGCAACTTCGAGAGCTCTGCAGCTTATTCATCATCTGAGAGGAAGCTCCAGAGAAATTGCAGGATGAATACACCACACTGTTCAAATTAATGCATAGAAAAAAAAAACAACAGAATCAATAAAAACAGAAAACTTCACGCTAGGAGAGGAGCAGGATCTACAATCATCTATAAAGATCTTTTTAAAACAGATTTCTGACTGGAATTAAAGAGGATTTTTAGCTTAAGTGCTTCAGACCTGTGACCAATAAGTTGGGAAATACAAACATAAAAACCAGTGAAAAAGTATTAGTTCTCTGATCTGTTACCTAAACACCAGCAACAAACCCAATATAGAAAATCATACTTTAGTGAAGAACTACAAGTGGACTTCAGCATCTATCAAGCCAGAGTAAGATTTAAAGAATCATCCGAGGCTCTTGTGATGATACAATACAGTCAAAAAACAGCTCCAGTCTACGGGCTCACAAATATTTAAACTTCAGGCACAGCTTCACATGTATCAATATACAAAATGTTTTACCACACTGGTGTTAGCTGTTTCCTGTGCTAGCTCTCACCTCAGAGTTTTGGTTTCAATAAAGAAGCCATCTTAAGGTCATGGTGACCTGCTCTACAGGTCATGGTGACCTGCTCTACAGGTCATGGTGACCTGCTCTA